TCAGTATGCACCCAATGGGATTCGAAACCAGAACCTTCCGGTTACAAGGCGAGCTGGCTCGTATACCATTCAGCCACTGGGACCCGATTCAATGGCCAATCCATGAATTCTAACTTCTATCAATTATCACGTGTTTTTTCTAGTTAACCTTCGTATTTCTCATTATATGATCTAATAGTTTTATTGTATAATTGGTTTCGAATTATTCATAATATATGCATTGAATGAATATGCAAATTAGTAGGTGCAGCTCATTTCACATGCTTAAGGCCTTAGCGTCTCAACGCAACATCTCCATGGGGAAAAAGGTAACATAGTGGGGATATGACTCATTCATTGGCTTAAAAACTTGATATTTAGTTAGTGAGTAATGCATTTGAATCCCATTCTATCTATTTCAACTTTGGTAACTAAATAGCCTTATTAGCTTTAGTGACTAAAAGTGTGACTCCTATCCTAGTACATGGAACTTTTGTTCCTATTATCTGGGCTTTAGCAACAACGACAACCAAAGAGTTTGATATGTCATGTGACCACATATATAAATAGATGAGATGTTTTGTAGTAATCATGTAACAACAGAAGACAAGGGTCAGGCAACAGATCGTTCATTATGGAAATCAACACATATTTATAGATTTTCATGCACATATTATAGATTATTGTTAGCAGAAAGACACAGCCTTCTGATTGGTTGTTCCTCACAGAAAGTTAACCTTGCATCGCTTTGTGGCTGTTTCTTGAATGCCAGATCATCTATATGTTGACTGTATCTGCCTACGCAAAGCCTTTGTTCTCATCTTTCTCACGACCAATATTGGGGACACAAACATTGACATAGATTACTGTCCACCAATTTTGACTAACAGCCAGGTCTCACCACAATCATATATTGAGACGGGTGCGTTGGTGGTTCAGAGGTGGAATACTCATTCACAGTGCCACGCGCTCCCCGGGGTTTGATCTCCGGCTGACACGCTTAGAGGCCTCACTTAACCGGTAGTAAGCCTGGTAAAGAGGGGAGGTTGAGAGTGAGACTAACAATCCGACCCCTTAAAAAGTCACCACTACTGGAACTTCAAACTTCAAGTGTGAAGCCCCATCTTTCACCGGGAATATATATATATATATTAAATATTCCCACAGTAGAATTTTGAACAACATATTTAAGCCAACAATATTGTTGTTTTCAATTAGATCAGGCTTAACTCTAATATATAAGTTTACAATTAAAAATTCAAATATAAACCAATCATGGTGTTTTGTATATGGGATAATAAGATGGTGAATATTAATTGTGCAATTAGTCATAATTGTGGTAATGATAATATTAATGGTTTTATCAATAATAAGGATGAAAAGGTGAGGCAATCTGTGATAACACGAATAATGAAAAACAGCATGATTCAACAAATAAATGTTCAGGTGGAAGTAGCCAATGAAGGCTGAGAAAAACAAATGAACCAACTAAGTAATGCTAGATTGTAAGGGAAGTAAATAAAATATGTTTTTAATGAAGATGTGATGAGATTGAGGGATGCTTAGAGAGAGGGGTTGAAAATATAAGTAAGGGGTGGTGTAGAAGTCATTAGTTGGTTATGTCTTAATAGGCCAAGGGAGGGATAATTGCTGTACAAACTTCTTTTGAATGCATAGTTTAGGTTTAATAGTTCGGATGCTTATCGCCTCAGCTGTGTGCAGTAGACGAATATGAAGTCTACTGGGAAGATTCGGTGGGATACGATGAATTACTTTGAAAGCTCTCGTTTTCTCCACTACATGATAACTATCGATTAGATGTGACAAAACTGAGTTACGGATTGTTTTGTCTGTCCTTTGCCAAACCACCACGATGGGAAATATTCACTAACGTTTGCTAAGCTGTCTAGTAGTAGTGTGGCCAACGTAACTGTCACCGCAGGCTCAGTTGAACTGATAACTGCACATAGATGTCGCAAAACTATCTGGCTTATCCTTCATTTGCTTTAATAGCCTTTATCGGCTACTTCCACCTGAACATTTGTTTGTTTAATCAAGCTGTTTTTCATTATTCGTGTTATCACAGATTACCTCACCTTTTCATCCTTATTATTTATAAAACCATAATTATTATTAATATGACTAATTGCACAATTTATATTTACCATTTTATTATCCTATAAACAAAACACCATGATTGGTTTATATTTCAATTTTAATCTAAACTTATGTATATTAGAGTTAAGCCTGATGAGATCTAATTGAAAACAATATTGTTCGCTTCAATGTGTTGTTCTAATATATATACTCAGATGTGATTGTACAGTTTGTGAAACTGCAGTTCAGAGTAAAGCTGTTATTGTTATTAAGTAAATCGGTCATAAAATTGACAGTGATAGTAACAATGATAACATGAATATAATTACTGGTAAGAAAAACTATTAGAAATTGAATTATAATATAGACATACATTTACAACACATGCTTCAGTAACAAACGGAATGACCAGTTCCGTTGAATAATTCGTCACACAATAAATAAGGATATATTCATAGTTCATTCAAAAGTGGCCTACAGTTCTCACGCGTTAGAGGTTCAGTAGTAGAACACTGGCCGACCACACAAGTGGTTCGGGGTTAGATTCCTGGTCAATGCACTTCTGAATCTTGCTTAACCGGCAGTAAGCATGGTAAACAAGGAAGGTTAAGCATGAGGCTTTTGACTCTACCTTTTAAAAGGCCACTGTTACTGTAATTTAGAAGCTGAAGCCTGAAGCCCTATGCTTCATGAGGAATGCAAAGCGATGAAAAAAGAGTCCTCAAAAAGTGTTGGTATGAGCCTATTAAATAGGAATTCTAAGACAGAGACTGTCGAGTAGAAAAGACTATTTGTTAATCGAAATATCCAGTCGAGTGAAGGTCTACTGTAAATATTAGTTTAATTCAGTATATATATATATATATATATATATATATATATATATATATATATATATATATATATATATATATATATATATCATTTCTTGATCTAACTTGAAATCAATCACTTCCATGGAAATCAGCATTTGAAAACTGTCAATTTCTGGTGAGACTTGGACTGACAGACTGTTATCAATGACATAATCTCTAGCTTGTTAACTGACCAATTAGAATAATTTATCCTATTTAACAGACAAATGGATGTTACACAATGGCGCCAGTAATTAAGTGTTGATTAGACGAAACGTATTGTCTAATTTAGTAATAATAATCACAGGTTAATGGATACTTGACTTTTCTTCCTTTCAGACATTAAAAATAAAATAAACTGAATTAGGAAAAATATATGTCTGATTTCCCATAAACTGGAAGATATGCAAGTGAAAAGTAACAAGTTGGCAGAAGAAGCATCAAAGATAGGACTTCACGTGAACATAGATAAAACAGAGATAATGAAGATTCCTAGCCAACATCAACAACACCAACAGACCACAATAAGCACAAATGGGAAGAACCTGAAAGAAACAACCTCCTTCACCTACCTGGGAAGCATCGTCTCAACTACAGGCGGAACTGACGAGGACATCAAATCCAGAATCGGAAAAGCAAGACAAGCTTTCATTACACTCAAATCTGTGTGGAGGTCAACAGCAATCAGCATCAAAAATAAGATCCGGATTTTCAACTCCAATGTGAAGTCAGTGCTACTATACAGATCAGAGACTTGGCGAGTCATAAAGAGCATCTCAAACAAACTTCAAACCTTCATTAACAACTGTCTCCGCTCAATACTCAAGATCAGATGGCCAGAAAAGATCAGCAACAGGGATCTCTGGGAGCGAACCAATCAGGAACCGATTGTGAAACAAATAGGCAGAAAGAAATGGAGATGGATTGGCCATACGCTGAGGAAACCATCAAGTGACATCACTAGACAAGCCCTCGAGTGGAACCCGAAAGGGAGGCGGCGAGTTGGTCGTCCAAGGGTGACTTGGAGGAGGTCATGCGAGGAGGAGATGAAAGCATGTGGACAGACCTGGAGCAGGGTGAAAAAGTTGTCAGAAAACCGAAGTCAATGGAGGTGCGCAGCTGAAGCCCTATGTTCCTCTAGGAACTAAAGGATACAATAATAATAATAATAATAATAATAATAATAATAGGAAAAATAAACAGTTAAACTGCTGAACTTATTATTTAACTATTGATGATTTTCAAATATGATGTAATAGATATTTCATTTTCGGTAGAGAAAGAAAGATCAAATTTGCAGTATAAAATGATATCATCATTCTATTTCACAAGTTATCATCAACTGAAACTGTCTGAAATTACTAATGGTTATAAATAATAAAATTTCATACTTCAATGTTTGAAGGATAATACAGAAAACATTATAAGATGAACTCCTCCAGAGCATAAGCATTACAATTTTTAGTTTAAGCCACCATCAATTCATGCGCTTTCAAACTATGTAAGAAAGGTAGGATGAGAGAGAAGACAGAAAACAGAAAATTCTAATAAACCGGGTTAGCTTGTATATCTACATAGCAGCTATAGAAGTTTGAAGTTCATCAAATTGAAAACTTGCTCAATGATTTGAGCTGACTAATGTGTATGAAATAATCAGTGTAATGAAAGTAATACAATTACCAAGGGAGTGAGAGATTGACTACACTCTGTTTCTGTGTACATTAGTTGGGTTTGAAACGCTAGATTGCTATTGTTTCAGCGAATTGTTGTGAATTTGCTGTACTTTATATGTTTAATATTTAAAAGGGTTTGGAAATCTTGACGGAATGACTCGAATCTACAAAGTGACTGGTAATTGCACTCTGCCAATATCTGCTTCCCTTTAAGCATAAGTTCCTTGGAATACTCTTTGAAAACCGGATATAAGCCATGCCGCAGGTGCACGTAAATTTATAAATGCAATTGGAGGTGACATCAGCAGGGTTGATTTTCTCAATAAACAATCTGTTACTTGCCCCTCGTCTTCTGTTGTCACAATATAACATTACTTTCCTTTATTTCTTTTTATAGGTTCAGGTTTTGGTATTCTAATGGTATGCGCTATTGTTGCCGTCAATTATTACTTTGATCGTTATCGTGGTATAGCATCGGGTATAGCAATGTCTGGTGCCGGTATTGGTACATTATCTATACCAGTATTGTATAATTGGATTATGCCTATAAAAGGTTGGCGATTAAGTCTACTGATGTATTCGTTGACTGTTGGCTTACTAACAGCTTTAGCTTCACTTACTTTTAAACCATTTATAACAAGTAATGTTGACAGTGACGCTGAATTCACTGAACAATCTGTAATTGTTGAAGAAATGAAAATCAATAATCCAGATGAAATATGTGTTATGAAGAATATACCAGAAATTCAGTGTTTTGAGGAAAAAACATTACAATCAGATGAAATAATAAATCCGAACAGAACTGGTGATGTAAGTGCCTTTCACTTCATAGCATGTTGACAACTATTCAACTTAACGATAAATGATAAAGGTATATAATTGGTTGGAGAATTTCATCATGAGCTGATATCAGTTAGAGAACCACTGAAAGCCGACAGAGAGTACTGGACAGATATATCGTCCTAGTTTTTTTTTTGATTTACAGCTTGATTCCACACTGTATTTTTGGTACCAGTATGGAATTTCCAGCATGGACATCGGTAGCCCAAATTTCGCAGGCCGACCATAGATATCAGGTATGCGCCGGCGTGGGGTTGTTCATCAGTACGTACCCACACCACAGGGTTCGAACCCAGGACTTTTTGGTTACAGGGCGAGCAAGTTCGTAGACCATTCAGCCACTGGAACCCGATCCAATGGCCACTCAACCCATGAATTCTAACTTCCACCAATTCATGACATAGCGCGACCACTTCGCAATGTCTTCTTCGATGAGTTACTGCCTCACCTAAAACCTGCCACACCCTACTGATCACAGCTTCCCACGCGAACCCCAGGTTAACTGCCTGAATAGGGCCAGTCACTTAGCTACTTAGCACCAGATAAGTAGGGTGCAGAAGGTTGAAGCTAAGGCAGTAACCCATCGAAGAAGACATTACGAAGTGGTCGCGCTATGTCGTGAATTGGCAGAAGTTAGAATTCATGGACTGGCCACTAGATTGGACCTCAGTTAATCAATGATCTACGAGCTAGCTCGCTCTGTAACCAGATGGTCCCGGATTCGAACTCTGGCGACGGATGCGCACTATGAAGAGTTCTAAACTGGGACGAAGCAGCTGTCCATTACTCCCTGCAGGTTTTCCAATGGTTCGCTAACCGATGCCATCTCATAATGAAATCCTCCAACCAATCAAACAAATTCCTTACAAAACCAATAATTGAAAAATAAATCTAATTTGTCTGTCAGACTTAACGAAATTTGTTTGACTTTTATTTTCACATTTAAAATGACCTTTACCGATGTTTATGTTTACCAGACAACAAGTTCACCTTTATAAATCACTGCCTTCAGGTAAATATTTCACTAATATAAAGTAATACCATCAAAGTATTAGTAAGAATACTGGTACAAGGTTAATCCTGCATATCAAAATCATTTGGTCAAGGTTGGAGAAAAAATTTTAATGTTCAATTAAAGTTAACGTTTAAGTATTGGTTTGTGGGGATTTTGTTTGATTGGTTGGAGGATTTCATTATGAGTTGACATCGGTTAGAAAACCATTGGAAAACCTGCAGGGAGTACTGGGTGGCTGTTTTGTCCAAGTGTGAGACTCCACCACCAAGGTTATAACCCAGGAGCTTCTGGTTACAGGCCTAGCAATCTCGTAGACCTTTAAGCCACTGGGACCCGATCCTATGGCCAGTGTATGAATTTCAACTTATGCCAATTGACGGCATAGCGCGACCGCTAGCCGATGTCTTTGTCCTCACGTTTGACCTGCTGTACCCTACTGGTCAGGACTTCCCAATGGTTCTCTAACTGATGTCGGATCATGATGAAATCTTGTAACTAAAGTTAACATATACAGGCCAAAAATATCAACTATCCAGACTAGTGGGGATTTTTTTTGTATTCCTTGCCTTCTGATTGGGAATTTAAGTTTTGAATTTTCAGTAAGGGTGTTATTTTAGCGCGTAGTAAGGTTGTGATAGCCTCATGTTAGTTCTTCCCTCTTTTCCTATTTTACTATTGGGTATTTAACCAGATGAGATTTAGGAGTTATTCGGTTGGGAATCGAACCCAGATAACGTGCATGGTTGGCGTGCATTCTACCTGTGAATCACTGACTCTTTGGTGCCCTCAGAGAGAGAGAATGGAACTCCCAAATTTCTGTTGGCAACATCATTTCTTTAAGCACTGAGTTAGCCTAAATTAACATAGTATAATGAGTTATCAGGGTCATAAATGTGTAAATAAAAAGGAACCTATTCAAATTTATGTGCTTAAACTGCCTAGTAATGAGTGTATAAAAGTTGAGTTACACGGCAGGTAGTCTTTTAGAAGTGATATTTAGGTTGCGTAACAGTTTAATGCACTTTTCTCAGTGACTAGTTTGTGTATTTTATTCGATACTATATATATATTTACCTTGAATGAGATCAAAACAAAGTAAACCCCTTTTTTTAAAGAGTTTGCAAACATATATGCCATTATTAACAATACGGAACACTTGGCGATAAAACGCCACAAATAAATCCATGTATTAGTAATTGAAAATTTATGCAATCTATTTATAGAAATGAACATTTTTGTATTAAATAATCTGAAACCAGTCAGAGTGACTGACTGTGGGATGGACTTCTTGGGTGCCTTATGAACAGTGATTGGCGATAGCGATATGATACGAAATCACAGAGGTTATAACTCATGGGTCATTGGATTTCGACTCAGTAGTTCAATACTAACATGTTCGGCTTGTAAAGTGAAGGTCTAGGATTCTATCCCTGTATGTTTCATTAGTGCGTATTATTGAAGGATGTCAGACTAAGACGAAATGGTTGTCCAGAGGTCCTAGTTTTTCACCGATTCTCTTATAGAATTTTATTGGTGACAAAACTGACGAATCAGATGCTTATAAACCCAACACTGGATATCTGAAGGCATGGATTCTGCGATTTTGAATTAGTACACAGTAGTATTGAGTTGTATGTTTATGATGTTTCTGTACATTCAGATAATAAATTAGGGGCATATTAGGTATGTGTTAAATGTATAGTTCAAGGTGAAATTCTCCTTAAAGAATGAAAGCATATACTATATTAACTAGTAATGATAATAACAGTTTTAGATTATTCGCATTAATCAGAACAGCTAATTTACGTTAGATCAAAATGATCTAAACATAAAACACCCATCTGTCTTAGTTACTCAAGAGACTATTAACTGCACCTCCGTAGTTATTAATGTTATTATTCCCTTGAGTTCCAGGTGGAACATAAGGCTTCGACAGCATATCTCCATTTCATCTTGTTACCTATTATACCTTTTACCTTCCTACATAATTCTCCTTAAGCTTTCTTCTCCTCTGTACACGATCTCCTCCATATCACCCTGGACACCATATCCAACTCACTGTTTCTCACTCGTCTTCCGCTCGAAAATGTTTGTGACGTCATCCAAAGGTCTCATCAGTGTATAACCAATCCATCTCCATTTCTTTCTGAATATTTGTGGACTATAAATTCTTGGTTGGTACGTTACCGGGGTTCTTTGTTGCTTGTTTATCGTTTCTGGACATTTAGAAGATGTGGCTTACCTCCACTTTCTCCTAGTAGTGGTAACTGGTGCTTGTTCTTGTTTTTAGTTTGGTATCTTCAACACCTCTATCTTCTTTATGTTCACTTAAAGTTGTGTCTTCTCTGCTTCTGCTGACAGCTTGTTCGTTTTCGCCTACAGGTCTTCGAGTTTATATGACATTAGTCATAAATCGTCCGAAAAGTCGAAATCTTAATGGGTTTTCTTGTTGGCCTAATGTACTCCTTTCTCCTCGCTCCCCATTCATGGTGTGTCGCATGATTCGGTCTACCATAATCAGGAATATCATCCGTGATAAATGAAAGACTTGTTTTACTCCTAATCTGAGTAGCGTTCATTCTTAATTCGTATACTAATACAGCTCTTAGCAACACGAAAATAGGTAGATTTAATGTATCACATTTTACCTGATTATATTATGGGTTTGATCAGCAGTTGACATCAGTCACAGAACCTTTGGTAAAACTAACAGTACTGGACAGCTGTTTTGCCCTAGTTTGGGACTCTTCATCGGTATGCACTCATTGGGGTTTAAACCAAGGATTTTCCGAATACAAGGTGAGATTGTAGACCATTCAGCCATTTGGACCCAATCATATTACATATAAGATTTAAGAGATGTATATCGTCAAATTTGATCAATGATATTTTCAATCGTAGTGAACTTGATTATGCATCAGACTGTGGGTTGGGAGTGAGAATACAGGAATACGCTAGACCACCGATAAGAAGACTCTAGAAGATCTGAATTTTGCAGATGATTTAAGTTTATCCTTGATGTCACACAGGCTGGAAGACTTGCAGGTGAAAACCTATAAACTGGCTGAAGAAGCTGACTGACAGCCGGTGGAGACAGGACTTCGGGTGAACATAAAGAAAACGGAGTTGATGAAGATGACCAACCAACTAACAGCAACAACAACAACAACAAACAGCACCAATCACCCACCATCACATGGAGAGAATTGACGGAGGTTACCTCACTTCCTTCACCTATCGGGCTTGGAAGTGCGGATGAAGATGTCAAAGACAGACAGCTAGCTAGCCAGAAGCGGAAAGACAAGCAAAATACTCACGCCTTCATCCACCTGAAACCAGTTTACAAATCTTCTGCACTACACCCCCCCCCCCAGTAAGCATAAACAACAAGATTCGGATTTTATTCAACAGAAATGTGACGTCAATCCTTCTATGCAGGTCAGAAACTTACACTGCATGTCAGTCACGAAAAGGATTTCCAACTAGTTACAGACTTTTATCAACAAATGCCCAGTTCGTTGGCTCCATACTGAGGATCAAATGGCCGGCCGGTCAGCCAGCCAGAAAGAATTAGTAACAAGAAACTATGGGAGCGAACCTATCAAGAACCTGTCGTTCAACAAATATGTAGGAGAAAATGGAGATGAACTGGGAATTCGTTGAGGAGACCCTTTGAATGACATCGTGCTCCAGCCCCTCGAGTGGGGAACGACGAGTGGGTCGTCCATGGATGACATGGAGGAGATCGTGAGAGTTGGAGGAGAAGAGAGATAATGGGCAATTGTAGGACCTGCTAAAGTGAACAGTAGAATATAGAAGAAAGTGAAGATGTGTTGTTGAAGCCCTATGTTCCACTTGGAACCGAAGGTAGCACTAATAATATAAATAATAATATCGTCAAAATTGGTTACTTTTATGACATTTTGACCAATATATTTTTGATTGCTAAGGCAATCCTAATTATTATGAAATAAATATCTGCTTCTTTTTATGTCTTAACAATTCCCCTGATAGATAATAATTCAGTCAAATGGTAAACTTGATGAGTCTACATTACAAGTTATAAAAAATTCTACAAAAGAAGAAAGCGAAGAAATAAATGAACCTAATGGTCCGGCTTCATCAGATAGAGAAAAAAGTCAATTGAATATTGATGCCTGTGATAAACTCCTACGTGATAGTAATACAAAGAAAGAGAGAAAAATTTCTATTGGATTCACTAATGCTCTACGTCAATTTTTGTTAAATCAAAAAGGTAAGTTGTATGACGTTTACTTTGCTTACACTTTTGTGCACAAATGCTGAAGAGACTAACGCTGTCTTTGATCTCTTGACCAACTGACTGACTGATTGACTGATGTGTAAACGTTCTATCACCCTCTTTTAATTGGCGATGAAGTTTGACGTAGAGTGTTAGGTGAGAGAAGAATATCAATCGATTAGTTTGTAAAGTTTCACCGATTGAGATAGCTAGGATACGTATTAAATATGTCATCAAGCCAGCAAAGTTAAGGAATTGCGACCCAAGCACTGGGAACGCACTAGTGACCTTGAGGCGACCAGTCAGCATAACCAGTATATTTTACATAGAAATTCTGTTTATTTACTAGAGAAATACAGATAATCAAAACAAAAAACGCTAACCTTAATCCTAACTCTGATCCTAACCCTGACTCTAAAGAGCTATCAATCCATTATCCAAACATTACTTAAAAATAAAATAGGGATGAGGCTTACACCTCAGTTTGTAGATGGCGTTTATACTGGCGCTATAACAATGATAGGCTCCACTATCCAACGAATAGTATGTGCTCAAAGTTATTGGTGCGCTAACACTATTAGATAGCTATTCTTTACCTTAGTCGCCAAGTCATCACCTTCCACCTCAATCAATGTTAGCTGATATATCGGTATCTATTGCATAGCTGATGTCCTCAGAATGTTAAAGACCAGTGACTGAAAATCGTTCTCAATGAGGCAGATATATTCATTTTTTGTGATATAATGCAATGATTATAATTTCACCATTCTTCATGTAATTATTCTTTCCCCTCTACACTTCCATTATGTATACTGTGTGAAGTGCGTGAGAATTTGAACAGCTGCACTTTTGTGCAAAGTTCTATGTTGAAAATTTATTCTTTCAGGTGTTACTGGCTATACTTCGTTATTTTAACTGAAATGATCAAATTATATAAAAGTATATAGATCCTAACTGTGGGCTTCCATCTTCATATGCTAGTTGGGAGTGCCAATCTCAATTAGTTGAGAAGAATACTCCTATGGTTCATCTAGCATGAACGAAAAGTCGTTTATATGGTTAGATGTTAAATTAAAATTAGGAAAACATAAATTTTAATTATTTAAATACTTAACTGATAGAATGTCGTCTCCATCAACCGAAGGATTAGACACACGACACTAGTTAATACCTGGTGTCCAATCAAAGTATCCAATACAGTCAGTCCTACAGGAGATCAGTCGCTAACCCGAATAGCTCAGTGGCAACGTGTCTGACTGCAGTACTGGATGACACAGATTAGAATCTCAGAAGGGACATGAGTTTCTTCAGAATTGCAGATTCACCTTGCTGACGAGCGCCAACAAACGCGAAAGCTAGGTGAAAAGATTTCTGCCAATTGCCTTCAACTATCGAATAACAACAATTTTGAGTGTGCCGTGATGGCAAGCCACCTAGAATGGTGGGCGCATTGCACACCTGTCTGGTAGAATTCACTCTGCGCTAAACAAAAGAGTATTAGACGGATTACACTAGTTACTTACTACCTAATATCCAATCAAAATTCCAATATTCAAGTGCAGGCTTGTAGGGATTTGGTTGGTTACAGGATTTCATCATGAGTTAACATTAGTTAGAGAACCATTGGAAAACCAGTTAGGAGTACTGGACAGCTGTGTTCCCCTAGTTTGGAACTCTTCATCAGTACGCACCCACCACCAGGGTTCGAACCCAGGACATTCTGGTTACAAGGCGAGCTAGCTCGTAGACTATTGAACCACTGGGACCCGATCCAATGGCCAGCCCATGAATTCTAACTTATGCCCTATTCAGGTAGGTAGTCACCTGGGGTTCTAGTGAGAAGTAGTGACCAGTAACGTGCAGCAGGTCGGGTGTGAGGACAAATACTCGCCGAAGACATTGGCTACGGGTCGCGCTATGTCGTGAATTGGTAGAAGTTAGAATTCATGGTCTGGCCATTGGATCGGGTCCCAGTGGCATAATGGTATACGAGTTAGCTCTCCTTGTAACCAGAATGTCCCGGGTTCGAACCCTAGTGGTGGGCGGGTACTGATGAAGAGTCTCAAACTAGGCTGACGAAATAGCTGTCCAGTACTCCCAGGTGGTTTTCCAATGGTTCTCTAACTGATGTCAGCTCATGATGAAATCCTGCAACCAAAATTTCAATACTTTTTACTCATTTTTTGTCCTGTTTTTACATTTTCTCCACTTTCTTTTTCCTTGATTTATCTTTTGCTTTATTTTAATGCACTTTTGGATAAACAAAAATGGTGATATATCAGCTGATGATTCCACTTGATTCAAGGATTTACGTCATAATCATCATTTTCTGTTGTGTTTTCTTTTGATATTATTCATTTGTATTCAAGACCACAATGATGACGTTTATGCAAGCCTGATTTCAGTTTTTCTTCTTATTCTTTTATGTCACCTGCTGCTTTGTTGTATCTTCTTCCAGGGACATTAGTCAAATAAACAAAACCGTTTATTGTTTTAACCAGTCAGCAACATTCATGGATAATGTACAACATTAAGCAAACACGCTTGATGTTGTTGTCATCAATACCTTTAGGCGCCTTTTCGATATTTTAGCCAATGTAGACCTACCGGTATCGTATATTATCTGCTATGATTACCCTTTCTTATGTAGTACAACAATGCCTAGGTTGAAGAATAGGAGTAAAGAGACAGACTGTCTACGAGACAAATATGGTGAGACCAAATCATTGAATAGATTGTCTACAATCATGCCACAAATAGAATAGCATATAAAATTAAATTAAATAAAGATTCCCACTGGCTGACTGGCTTCCTGAAAGCTTTCACCAACCCGCAGCGTCATTTTTTCTCTGTGATTTTAGCCAGGAATAAGATTTTTGCTCATATTTTCCTTGTGCTTTGAAGTTTCTGTAGCGATTGGATTGATTTCCTTGGGGGTAGGGTCGCCCAACCTTCCTTCTTTTGACGGGCTTGAAACAGGCTAGAAAACTAACAAACTAGTAAATAGTCGTGGGGCAGGATGAAGAGGACTTAAGAGGAAATGATAAAATTGAAATGGGCTGCTGAAGCCGTATGTTCCACTCAGAACCCAATGGAATAATAAAACAATATATAACAATAATTTACTATTATTTCTATTTTTATTCATTTGCCTTCCGGGTGGGATGTAGGACTTCAGGCTTCAACTTCCACTTTTTAGTAGCACTTGCGTTTGTTTTTCACGAAGTGACGTTGCTAACCACACGCACTACCTTCCTTGTTTACCGGGCTTACTACTTACTAAGCGAAGGTTAATAATGTGTCGGCCGCGGATCGAAATCTGGGTCACATACGCAGTTGGCGAAGATTCTACAGGTGAAACAAAGACGCATAAGTTGGGGTTATTACTTGATAGTCGACTAACTATAGGAGAGCTGTTTCGCCTTAGTTTAGGTCGATTCAACAGTACTCACGCATGACCTCATAGAGGAGTGAATCTATTGTCATGAAATCCAATAACCAGTCCATGCATTTTAACTTCTGCCAGTCCCTAGCATTTAATGCCACCACAAACCAGTGCCATCTACGAGTATCTGTCGTCACACGTAACAATGGATTCCACTGGTCACGAGTTCTCACTAGAATCCGAGGAGCTCCGTCTCATAGTCAGTCACAAATGAGCAGCAAAATAATTTTCATCCGTTGGTTTGCGGAGATTTGATTGATTTCAAGACTGATCACGAATTGACTTCAGTTGTGGAACCTTTGAAACCCAGGAAGTACTGGATAGCTGTTTTGCACTTGTTCGGGACTCTTCAATGGTACGTAACTATAACTCCACCAGAGATGGAACACAGGACCTTCAGGTTGCAAAGGGATCTCGTATACCATTAATCTACTGGGACGGAATCCAATGCCACATCACTTCTAACTTCTGTCGGTTCGCGATATGACGCCACCGCCAGCTAGTGTAACGGGTGAGTATTTATCCTCACGCACAAGCTGCTAGACCTACCGGTGACGAAGCCTCACTAGAATTTCAAGAATTCTTTCTCATAGTTAGTCATAATTGAACAGCAGACTAACTTTCAAGGGTTTTTCTCATGGTTTCAATTGATTACAAGTTGGACTCTGAAATGATATTTCAATAACCAAGAGTATTTGAATAGGTCAAGTAGTCTAGAGTAAACAGTGGAATCCGAATGAATAGAAACGACGAAACGACATCGTCTAGCAATGTAAGACTTCTGAGTGCCTTACTTAAATTTATTAAAAGGACTTACTCTGAACTTATGTTCGGTTAATACCTATAACCTTTTAAGGTGGGTAGAACATATGTTTAAAAGAATAGCACTCAAAGCCTTCAAAATATCATTGCCTGGTACCCACAAGGTATAAACTTTCAAGCGTTTAAACTCTATACGAGTATACCACACATAGTTAAATTGAGTACTATAGTTAATAATGTACAAAACTTCACCAAAAATAAGAAAGATGCCTTCAAGGCATAGATTCTATGCATGGATTTAGACTTTATTGTGAATAAGGCACATTAGTCAGTTGCTCGTTAACAGGAGCTCAGATTTCGATTCCCCATCGACGCACTTCCAGACCTCGCCTAGTTTATTAGTCGGTAATAAGCTCCAGGTGCATTTAAGTTTCAGTGGCGATTTGATTGATTTTCTAGGTTACGGTCATTAGCACCACTGCCAACCTTCCCTCTTCCTGGGCTCCGGGCCGACTAGACAACCAGCAAGCTAATAAAATAGGCGAATACCAACTGACTGTCTGTAGAAGTCGCGAAGACAGGACTTCAAGTGGACACAGATAGGACGGGGACGAGGAAGATACCAAACCAACAGCAATGACAACAACAATGAGTACCAATCATTATCAACGGGATAAATTTGAAAGAGGTTACTTCCTTCACTGTTCTAAGCAGCATCATTTCAACTACAGGCAGTTGGTACAGTCGAAGATGTCAAAACCTGTCAGAATCGGAAAAGAAAAACAGA